AATAAAAATTCTAGGGCTAGGGATGGTTAAGAACAATGTAATTGTTACTGAAAGCTCAGTTCTTGTGTTAAACCAAGACACAAAGACCACCGACTCCAATTTTAAATCAAATTAAAGCAAGCTTGTAATTGTGCCCAGCACTGTCACTCCCAAAATCCCTGGGCTAGAGAACAGTACCCCAGCTCTCTAGGAGCATAGTTTTATAGCACAAAAAGTTGCAAAGGGACTGGAGAACTTACAGATAACATCATTTTGAAAAGCATAATACAAAGGCAGATAGTAGGTTAATGATCTACATGGCTTAACATTTCAAGGTAGGGAATTTAGATCCCAACATCAGAATTTATGAGGTGCCACTGAAGTTTCAGAGAGGGTCAGGGGGAGCCAGGATTTATGAGGAACCACTAAGGTATTAGACAGGGTTGTTATCTGGGCAGGGAAAGCCAGGCATGGGTGAGTTCAAGGCACGGGCAGGAATTCCATACAAATTTAGAAATTTCAGTAATTTATAGTAAAACAGAAATTAACTTTTCATGACTTTGTGATGAGATGGCTCCCAATCTTAAGGTGGAATTAGGCTGGGTTCATCACCTTGTCCCTGCTGATGTCAATTCATGTCAATTTAATAATGAAGACATGGTTTTGAGAAAAAGGAAAAAAAAGATTTATTGCTTTGCTAGCAAAGGAGAAACACAGGGGACTCCAGTCTCAGAGGCTGTGGTTCTGACCATCAGGGAAAACAGAGTACTTTTAAAGAAGCTATCCAAAGGCTACATTCCAGGTGGGGGGTGGAGTGAGGGGTGTGATATGGGGGGGGGGGTGAGAAGGTGGGGGTTGGGGGGTGTTCCAGATGTCCAGATGGTGTGTTGAAATTTACTTGTTAATCTGACATCTCCTTCCTGTGGAGGACAGATACCTCAAGGTAATCTTGTTCCCTGCAGCAGCCCAGGAGGCATTAATTAACAATTTTTAAAACAGCTCCCTGGCAAGGAGGGACAATTCCTGGGACAGGTTACCTTAGCAATCCGTTAGGCCTCCAGGTTAGGGAGGGGGGAAGGGAGAAGAGAAAAAGAAAAATCTTGTCCCTTTTAAAATAAGCAGGAAGTGCTATGTTCAAAAGGTGAAGTGGACCACTCTTACAGAAAGAGCCCATATGTACAAATCTTTTCCTTTAATATGAAATTTGACCAAGGAAATAAACAGTGGTGATGAGATGGCAAAGCTAGACCCAGTTGTAAAATGAAATTACAAGAGTGTTATCCCTAGGGAAAGGGTTAGTTCCCCTCCCTGTCTGTCTCCTTTCTTCAGCAAACCTGCCTTTTGGATTGTAAATAACCATCTCTAGGAGTCTGACTACATACTTGAAATATAAACACTCCTCTGGAAGGTTAGAGATTTAACAGAAGCCTGTAAAAAGAGACTTTTCTTCTTATCTGTTTCTGTAAGCATGCTTTATGTTAGAGATCCCACACAAGGTCTTCAGTCACTTAGGTTAGGAATTTAAACAAACAAACAACAACAACAACAAAAATGATAGGACAGGTCTAAGATGACACCAAATAAACTATAAATGTTGTGAGAAACTGTGGATCAGGGCTCAGAATTTGGAGTTTGTTCTCTGGGCCTGCCAGTATAAAATAAAGTTTGGAGTTCTTCTCTTTGAGTGAATGCTGCTTGCTGCATCTAAACTGGTCTGTTTCCCATAACAATGATAATGGGAGTAAATCTGCCCTATGAAGGAAGAATAGCCACCTGAACCTTTGATTTCTGTGTCCACCATGGCTGGCAGATTCTACTTCTAATGTTACCAACTGCATAGTCCTTTTTCATGTCTGGGTCATACTGTGAAAATCTGTGATAGTATTATTGAAAGCTTGTCACTTGTCCCTGATGCCAATCCAAGAATGAGAACATAGTTTTGAGAAAAAAGAAAAGGAAGTTTTATTGCTTTGCAAGCAAAGGAGAAACACAGAGGACTCCTATCCAGAGGCTGTGATTCTGCCCATCAGCAGGAAAAGGGGGATTTTTTTTTTTTTTTGTGGTACTAGGGATTGAACTCAGGGGCACTCACCGCTGACCCACATCTCCAGCCCTTTTGAATTTGATTTAGAGAGAGGGTCTTACTGAGTTGCTTAGCGCCTCACTTTTGCTGAGGCTAGCTTTAAACTTATGATACTCCTGCCTCAGCCTTCCATGCCCAGTGGGACCCCGAGCTTTTACAGAGATGATTCAAAGGCTACATTCTATGTGTTCTCTGTTGGAGTTGTAATTCACTTAATTGGGAATTAATCAATTAATTAATATTATTAATTAATTAATATTATTAATTAATTAATTGATTGATTTGTAATTAATTTGGGAATTAGTCATTTCTGAGATCTTCTCTTACCATCCCCAAAGTCTGGATTACTTTGTTCTAAAGGTGGGTCTGTACTCAAGGACAGATAAATCTGCCTAAAATGGGGAAGAAAGGTAATCCTGTTTCCCTTGAGATTAGAGAGGGGGAGAGATTAGGGAGGAGCAGGGAGAGAGAAAGAGAAAGAAAAATGTTTTGAAAATAAGTTGCAGTGACAGAGCTGCAAGGGACAAAGCATAAAGTGGACCACTGTTACACTGGTGTTCTCCAAACTAAAACTGTTTATATCAGTAATCTCTTTCAGCCATATATAGAAATAACAAATTCAATTGGGGACTTATTTATGTTATTTAATATTTTGTAATTGGATAAAAATGACCTGTCATCAATAAGTGATATATAAAATTTTGTGTTTCTCTTTACACTGGGATGAAAATTTAAATGTATTTTTGGAGGGCAAAAAGGAGAGCCTAATTAATTTAAAGGTTAACAATATGGAACATGAAAACATTTTGCCACTTTTAAAATTTTTTCACAAAAAGAAAGATAAAAGCTCTAGTTTTTGTTTGATCCATGTTTCAGATATAATCTTTATTGTGTCAAGAGCCCCATCTTACTTGAGATAAGTTCCCCTCTCACACTACTCAATGTTAGGATGGCTCTAAAGTAGGCCAAATTTAAGCTTATTTAAAGTTGGGTTCAAAAGATGGATTTTTATTGTAACATTACTATGATCTCAAAATAACCTGGAGATATAATGCAAAGCTACATAAAGGTTTTTGTAAATTATAAAAGACTATAACATTATAAGAGATTTTTTTTGTTTGTTTGTTTGTCTTTGTGGTGCTGGGGATCAGAACCCAGGGCCTTGTGCAGGCAAGGCAAGCACTCTTGTCAACTGAGCTATATCTCCAGACCTGTAAGAGATTTTTTAAAAGTAAAATTTGTAAGGGGTCTAAGTAATTTTTTAAATTTGTTCTAATTAGTTATACACTACAGCAGAATGCATTTCATCTCATGTAATTGAGTTGAGAAATTTATGGATATTTGTGGAGGCAAAATAGATACCAAAGATCTATATTAGTGTTATTATAAAATTGTGTTTCTTGGGCTGGGGTTGTAGCTCAGTGGAAGAGCGCTTGCCTCACATGTGTGAGGCACCAGGGTTAAGTCTCATTACCACATACAAATAAATAAAATAAAGGTCCATCAATAACAAAAAAATATTTTAAAAAATAAATAAATAAAATTATGTTTCTTTGTTCAAAGCTATTATATAAACTGAATGTTTTTGTTAATTTCATTTTGTATTTTCCTTGTAGAACTTTATAACTTTTTCCTGTTAGTGTTTTTAAAAAGTATATTTTATTTTATTTATTTATTTTAAAGAGAGGATTTTTTTTTAATATTTATTTTTTAGTTTTCGGCGGACACAACATCTCCGTTCGTATGTGGTGCTGAGAATCGAACCCGGGCCGCACGCATGCCAAGTCGAGCGTGCTACCGCTTGAGCCACATCCCCAGCCCAAAAAGTATATTTTAAAAGTATATATTTAAAGTATATTTTGAAATAAGTCATCACAAATAGGACTCCAACATTAAGACTGAAACAAAAACTAGGGCCAAGGAAAAAGCAGCCAACAATTTGGGCCTTGCCCTCTAAGGTCAGTCAGGACCCAGAGAATGATGGGCCCTCTCTGGGCCCTGCAACTCTGGTGAGTCACCCAATCTGTGGATCAGAGAGAAGGAGAGGACCCTAGAGAACAGGAAGCCAACCAGTGCACATTCTGCAAAAAGGAGGGTAATTGGATAGGGAAATGTCTCTAATCCTTCCAGGGGAAGTCACACATGGTCAGTAGGACTCTGATCCATCCTAGCAGATGGCACAGCTGGTAGAAGAAGACAAAAGAAATCAAGAGGCTTTGCACACATTCCCGAGATTGATCTCTAAGAAATCTTAGCTGACTCTTAACAGTAGATAGGAACAAGGTCTGTTTTGACCAATTTGATTTTAAATACGTGGTAGGATAATATAACCAAAATTACAGTCCTACATGGATATTTAAAAGAAAGGGCATGAGGCTGGGTTTGTGGTTCAATGGTAGAGTGCTCGCCTAGCATGGACGAGGCACTGGGTTCCATCCTCAGCACTACATAAATGTAAAATAAAGATATTGTATCCACCTAAAACTTAAGAACAAATATTAAAAAAAGGGCAATAATTCTTTTAATGTAACTGGAGATGTACATTTATGTCAGACCTCCCAAGAGTAAGTAAACCTGGAAGACATAAAGAAAGTTTTTTTTTTTTTTTTAAATACAGGAATGCCTGATGGATGTGTTTATTCTTTTTTTTTTAAATATTTATTTATTTTTTAGTTTTCGGCAGAAATAACATCTTTGTTTGTATGTGGTGCTGAGGATCGAACCCAGGTCGCACGCATGCCAGGCGAGCGCACTACCACTTGAGCCACATCCTCAGCCCTGGATGTGTTTATTCTGACTCAGTTTAAGAAAGTCTTCCTAACCTCCTATGATTATTATAAACTGCTTCTCAGACTTCCTTTCTCAAATTTGCAGTTCCTCACTTCCATCCTGGCGACTTGATTTTTTTAATATTTATTTTTTTATTTGTTCTTTTTAGATATACATGACTGTAGAGTGTATTTTGACATATCATATATACATGGAGTTGACAACTTGATTTTAATCAAGACCTGGAGAAGAGATAGTCTGCAATCAAGCTGGAAAGGACCTTACCAAGTGCTCCTGATCACTGGGATGGCTATCTGAACTGCTAAAAAGGGGAAAACTTATTACCAGGTGTGATTTCCAACTCTAAAAGTTTATGTCCAGGATAGATGACAATACTTTTGGTGCAATGAAAATGAAACCAAAAGGTATAAAAAGAAAAACGGGATTTGTGAGAAATAGTCTGGTGGTTCATTTTCCAAATGTACTATTTAGCCTTAATTGGATTCAATTGTAGACTTCCCTTTTGTCTGCCCTAATTCTATTATTAGCTAATCAAATAGATTGTACCTTTGAATTCTTCCTATCAGGATTGAGAGGCAGTACCTGATTGGGGATAAATGTTAGTGGACTGCCCACCCAGGTGTGCTTGCTTGTAGGATTCCCTTTGAGAGCGCACCATTCTGCAGAAATCACTTTGCCTGATCTACCCACTTTTGATCATGTGTTTGTTTTCTTATGGTACCTCATTATTTCTAACATATGTCATTTATGGAGCTACTCTGTTTTCCTAGTACAAATGAAGTTATCACCCAGGCCTGAGGAGAAGGTGTGAAAGGGGGGCTTACTCTGTAGTCCTGGGTAAACAGCCCACCCCCAACCTCTCCCACATGTAGTAAGGACACAAAGAATCCTCTTCATTAGCCTCTGTTCCCTAGTTCCCTAGCCTAGTTCCCTAGCCTAATGCAGGTCCCCTGGTGAAAGTCAGGCCAACTTTACAGGAGTCAGACTGGAGTAAGTTGCTAGCTGCCTGCTCCCAGGGTAACTCCTATCTCTCATCCTGTACCTAGAGGTTTGCAGTGGTCTTTTATGGATGCTTTGGCTGGGCTAGCCCAAGGAGGTGTGGACACCCCTTAAGCCCCAGGTCTTGGTGAAAAAAATCCAGAGTTGCAGAGCTGCGGCAAAACCATAAGCCAGGTAGCACTGTTGTCCAGTAGTGTTGCCCCCCCCCCCTTGAAGATTAAAAACCTGAGAAATGAGGAGGCAAGCATAGAAAGCAAGTTTTATTTAAGAGAGAGAACAGAAGACTTCTCTGGAAAGAAGCCAGGACCCAGAGCTTGTGCCCCCAGGAGTGGGGGAGTCTTGTCTTCTTATAGACCCCCACCCTCTCTTTTCAGTGCACTGCCCCAAAAGAGATACTCAGGGGGTAATTGCTCCTGTTGGGAAATATGATCCTTCCTATCCCCTGGAGGTGTTAGCAACTGGTTGATGGGAAGCGAAATCTACCCATTTCCTTTTCTTTGATAATCAGCTATCTGCCCTTTGCCCAGGACACCAAGACAAACATCTGGCAATGTGGGAGCCAGCCTACCATTTGATCCTGGAGTGGAGTCACAGTGAGTCCCAGGATGTGTCCCTGCCCTTTTCCTTCTTGCAATAGCAGGAGTTAAACCAAATACTCTCTTCCCAAGAAAGGGGGAAATGCAAGTGGCTGCCAAGCTGCTGGAAAATAATTCCTGCAGGGTCTCCACCTCTCTGGTTCATGGTCAGCAGATAGTCTGAAACTGGAGGTTCAGGATGGGGCTTGTTGGCCCATTTCTTGATGACTATTTCTGTTCCTAGGTTTTAGGCTTTTTTTTTTTTTAAGACACAAAGGGCGGGGTAGCGTGGGAGGGACAAGGATAGCGTTATATTTGAGATTCATGGAGTCATACCGCCGTCAAGCGGAATATGTTTCTGGTGATTAGAGCCCAGCAGTGGGCAAAAGCCAAGGTACTAATATAGCCACCGCCGTCACTCCACAGTCATCCAGAGTGAAGGTGGACGATTAAGCCCTGGCTGGCACTTGTCTAGAGCTCCTTCCGAGGTCTAAGGGAACCCTGGCTCCTCCACCAGGGTACACAGTCTGGCAGTAGGCGGCCCGCCATGGCTGCCACAGGCTGCTGTCTTCCCGACGAGGAAAGGGGCCTCAGCATCACGGCTACCCCAGGCAGGGGCATCTGCAACTCCTCAAACAGACCCCAGACCCCGAGGCCAGACCTGAGCTCAGTCAGCAGCCAGCGGCTTCTCCTGGGCCCTCCCTAAAATGGCGCTGCGGGAAGTTCCGCCCCCTGGGCTGGTTGGTGCAGCACAGCTGCCTGCAGGGTCCCAGGGCTCCTGGACCTGTTGCTTTCCCTGGGTAGGGTCCCGAGGGCATGCAGTCTTCTCCCTATATTTTGGACCCCTGGTCAGATAGACTTTGCTAGGCCTAAGTCTAGCCTTCCCAGACCGTCCTTGCTCTCACATTCCCATCTCACACCAACTTGGTGCCAGGCTGCTGGCACAAGGTAAGTGTCCCTTGTGCCTGGGCTTTTCAGAAACCATTTCTGTTAGATGGAACCGTGGTTCTACAAATGACAGTAACTACTTACCTTACTTCCCATCGTGGCTCCTCTCCTCCATTCGTGGCTTGAAAAGCACCAGACACAGCACCCCCCCCCCCCTTTGCCACCCCCCTCTTCATCAGGGTTGCTGATGTCCTGCAGTTTGGCCCATTTGGGGCTTAACAAGGCTGTACCCTTCTTCCTTCCCTCTGGATTTACCCCTTGGTAGGGGTCCCTTTTTTCCATGTATTTTCCAAATGTCCTCCACTGGCTCCTGGAGGTGCCAGGGTGGTTGGGGGATGTGTGTGTGTGTGTGTGTGTGTGTGTGTGTTGGGGGTGTGAGCATTTACATTCCCTTAGGAAGCTACATGTCCCACCTGTACAGGAACCTGGGCCTCCTTTTCTTTCGTATGCACTTCACTTCTCCCTGGGTAGAAACTCCCTGTAACCAAAGGAACAGGGATCTAGGGCCAAAGCTGTTAAGTCCAGGAAGGGGTGTGGAAGTGATTACAACATGCCACAAAACCTCTCAGGTCAGGGTGGTTAGAAGAGATTCCCTCTGCCCTCAGGATACCTCCCTGATAGGACCCCAGGCACTCCTCTGTGCCTCAGGTGGTTGTGTCCCCTGTGGTGGGTTTCATAATTTTGTTTGTTAATATAACACATTCTTACATGTTCCCTAGGTGCCCCAAGGTGCAGGCATGGATAGCCAGGATGGCAGGCTTCAGTCCCATTAGGAGCAGGTGTCTGTATCATGCTCTGTGATTCTAGGTCCCCTCTGTGCTTTATCCCTTAGGGTGGGGTGGAGGTTGTGTGGGGGGGTAGAAGTGGGAAGTTAGAGCAAGAAGCACAGTGCCTTCTATGAAAGTGGGGAGACTAGGGCCTATGAGTATCCCCGTGCATAGATCTCTCCCTCTCTACCTGAGCACTAGGGACTCCCAATTATTCACCCTGGAAATTAAGAAGTGGAGGTGATAGATAGCAGAGTGGGAATGGGTAGGAGGGAGTGTGTTTGTGCAAGTATGCCTGTGTGTGTGTGTGTGTATGTGTATGTGTATGTGTGTGCACAGAGAAAGATAGACCCAGTTGAAGGGTTAAGTCAATTCTTGGTCACTTTGTGAGTTTCTTAAGCTCCACTCAACACTCAGTGCCTGGAAAGCAGTAGGCCTGGTGCATCATTCTCCAATATGCTGTAAGTCTCTTCTCTTCCTGGAAGTATAGGCTACAGTAAGAACACACTGAACTCTAGGCAAAATAATATAACTTATCAGAACATCCCAGCATCCTGTAGTATCCTGTGGGTCCTTCAAACTTTGGTTCATGCTTCTACTCTAAGATGTTGCTTAAAGTAGGGCAACATTAAATATGGGGAGAAGAAACAAAAATCCAGCAGCAGCCAGGTACGGTGGTGCACACTTGTAAACCCAGTGGCTCGGGAGGCTGAGGCAGGTGGATTGTGAGTTCAAAGCAGCCTCAGCAACAGCGAGGCACTAAGCAACTTGGTGAGATCCTGTCTCTAAATAAAATACAAAATAGGGCTGGGGATGTGGCTCAGTGGTTGAGTAATCCCCAGTACCCCCCATCCACCCCCCAAAAAGCCAGCAGCAAATGCACCTGAGAACAGGAGCCACCTCCATCTACTGTCCTGTCACCCCTCACCTACTGTGGATCTTGTCCTTCTCTGTAGTAATCATAAGGTCTCCTACTGCACTTGCTTAGAGAAAAGCTGAGGAGAAAGAAATGCAGGGAGGTGGACATAGGTGGTGAGATGCCCCCTCTCAGTGTCACAGGTCATCTTTTTTTCTCATTGAGTTGCATGCACTCACTTTTCACCCTTGAGGACAGCTGAGCTTACCTATGTCCTCAGTTACATGCATCCCCCATTTAATCTGAGGGGAGCAGGTCTGTGCATGCATGCACCCACATTCACACTCAGGCGACCCACAGTGAGGCTTGGTGGGCTGGAGCCCTCGACTGACTTGTCAGTTCCCTGTGTTTCCCCATCCCCCTCCTCCCTTGTTCCTTTCTGCCTTCCCACTTCAGCCAGGGGGACTGTGTGGAGGAAGCAGCAGCATCAGTGGAGCAACAGGTCTCTATCTGCACAAGGTTCACACCCTGGTCCTGTTTTGCTGAGAAGACAGCCTTGGCTGGTGGCTCTCTTCCCTGGGAGGACAGGGGATACCACTCAGTGGGACACCTGTGCATTGGAGATTCAAGGTATTTTGGTTCACTCTCTTGCCTTCTGCTTCAATATAATTCTCTCATTTTCCATCTGTTCTCTTCCTGTCACTTCTGGTTTTCCAGTTGTTGCTTTGTGGAGATTGGGTTCTGGTAGGAAGGAGGCCTTGAGAGGAAGCAGGAGGATCAGAAAGACAACAGAATGACTTCTGTGGAAATCATGATGACTCTTGTGCACTGGAGAGGGAGGGCTCTTCAGTTTTCTTGACTTGAGCACCATCAGCGAGGATCTCCATTTTCCTTGTGCCAAGTTTGTCCCCATTTCTTGCACACTTATGTTCCTGGGGTAGACTCTTGCTTTGGTCCTGGGGAACAGGTGGTGGGAGGATGGGGGTGAGGAGTTGGTAGGGTTACTCTCTGGCCCTCTGGCTGGTTAGAATGGACTGATGACATAACTAACTTATGGGTCATAATCTGCCTTTGCCCTGGAAAAGTCCTACATGCACACTCATGGGGCAGCATTCTGGGTGGTGAGTTCTTTTCCTAGCATTGTGAGCACTTGTCACTCCGTATGTTGGTTACGGTCTTGTGAAGGGTTCCTGGACTAGATCCATGAAAATACCCTGGGTGGCACCCAACAGGGCTATGTGGTACATGAGGGCAGTGTCTGGGGCCACTTGTCTGCTCACACTGTAATGCATATGTGTCTTACTCTTCATCAGGCCAGGTCACACTGTGTTTGAAAGTCCACTAGAAGCAGCCTAACTGATCAATTATGAAATGGAATGATCAGGGGTTTTTTAATATTTATTTTTTAGTTGTAGGTGGACACAATATCTTTATTTTATTTTTATGTGGTGCCGAGGATTGAAACCAGTGCCTCATGCATGCTAGGCAAGCACTCTACCACTTGAACCACAACCCCAGCCCCAACGGGATGATCAGGTTTTAATTCATAACTGCAACTTTTTTTAAAAGTTAGGAGTCAGTAATTTGTTTCACTAGAATGGAGATAAGATGTAAACAATTTTATCTTTTAGGCTTTTTATTTTAAAAAATATTTATTTGTTAGTTAATAGGTGAACACAATATCTTTATTTTTATGTGGTACTGAGGATTGAACCCAGTGCCTCACATATGCTAGGCAAGTGCTCTACCTCTGAGCCACAACCCAGCCCATATCCTTTAGGATTTTTATTCAATTATGTGAAAACCACAAATCAGGTACTGTATTTTAGTTAAATATTACTTTAATTGCAACAAAACAGCTTTTGTGGCTGTCAAATGAAATCTATAAATAGGAAGTGGAGGTTAAGTCATCCTGACTGAGCAGTTTTTAACTGCAGGCTCTAAAACTATGTCAAGAAGTGAAGAGAGGGGCTGGGGTTGTGGCTCAGGGGTAGAGCGCTCGCCTAGCACGTGCGAGGCCCTGGGTTCAATCCTCAGCACCATATAAAAATAAATAAATAAAACAAAGATATTGTGTCCAACTACAACTAAAAAAAAGAGGTGAAGAGAATATAATAGACGCTGTTTATGATACAATGTGTTTGAAAACAACTGTATTTTGGTGAGTCATGGAATATCCAGTTGTGGTTACATGGTCACGGGAACATTCCTATTTCAGGTCTTTTCCTTCAGGGTTACTGGGATAAGTCACAGGTTACTTTGATCTTTATTCAAAGATCCCTGACTATCTATCCTGAGTTTCTTGAGATTGGAGCCAGGTGTGTATCCACACTGAGGATTTAGCCAGGGAAGAACATGACAAGTATGCAACAGAGGGCCTGTTGATCAGGTTTCCATGCCTTTGATTGAGGATTCCTACACAGTGGAGCTCTTGCTATTGTCCACTGACCCACCCCAAGGTGCTGAAATCACAGCCAAGGAGGCAGCTGATTAACACAGTACTTGGGGGTGTCATCTGGCACTTTACAGGGGTGAAGCTAGCCTTAGGCTTTTAGATTTTTTTTTTAAACAATAGGGAAGATTCAGTCATCTCTGTGGTATTTTAAATTCCCAAGGACATCAGATTGAAATATCAGTTGTCAGATTCTTTTAACAATATGTCTTCAAAGTTTTTGCTTTAATATCTAAAAAAGGATTCCTTTTTTTCTCATTTCAAATCTTTAAGTATTTTGGGTGAGATAAATCACTCATTTGCCTATGACCTTTTAGAAAAGTCATTTTATGGAAATACTGTATGTATACTTAATCTAAATTTGAGTGGACTATCCTTTAGTGTATTTATAAATGATCAACTCAGTTTATGAAATTAAACTTTTTATTTGCAATTTTTTAAAATGAAAAAAAGAAAATACCTGGGTGGAATAAGTATGCTCATTCTCCTCCTCATCATAGTTTTCCTTTTATGCCATCCCTCTTCTTCCTTGTTTTTCACTTTCTACTGATAGTCAGTCCAGGGCCAGTGTTCTGTGAAGGAAGGCAAGTGTCCATCCACTGCTTGTTGGTTATGGGGGCATTCACCATCCTAGCATGAGGTCATGGGGGGACATTCTACCTTCTTGAAATAAAGTATGGCTGAAGATCCCCAGAAGAGTCTCTTCTGTCCTGCAAACAATCAAACAGATAAACAAAAACATGCACATGTTACTTGTGAACAAATAGAACCCTCCCTGGGCACATTTCCAGCAAAAGACTTAAAGGCTTTTTTCTCCTTGTAAGTCTTTTCCCCACAGAATCTGAAAAGTTGCAAAGTTAGTCCAGGATGCATCACTTCAAGGTGTGCTCTGTTGCCTTTCCTCCCTTCCAATCCTATGTACACAACAGGATGGAATTCTGTGTGTACCTGCACTGTATCTCCACCATCTTCACATGAATGCTCCCACTTAGACAGGCAGAGGCACCCACACAGATACCCACATATACACTTGCATGCACGTGGGTCCCCCGTAGACTCCATTATCCACACTGGTACACACATCCAAAGATATACTGAAGCACAGAAGCTCAGGGCTCCGGGTCACCCCCTTCACATGCACATACACACACATACACACACGTACACACACACACAGACACACAATCCCACCTCCCGTTGTTACAGGGCTGGTGCCTTCTGGGAAACTGAGGCCATCCAAAAGCCCTTCCTCAAACCCTGACTCTTGTGATTAAGTCAGAAAAATTTCAGACGTCACTCAGAGTAACATGGTAAGATTATTAGAAGGGATGGGAAAGGAGAAAAGGGGGCATTCTCAAGGGAGAGAGTGGTTCTCTCAGAGAGGAGAGGGAATGTGTGCCTCTCCTGTATTCCTATTTTATTTGGTATCTCAGAGAAGTTTCCAGAGTCCTGCCCAGGTCCACCTCTTGACTTTTTTTTCTTTTTTCTTTCTTTCTTTCTTTTTTTTTTTTTGGTGCTGGGGATTGAACCCAGGGCCTTGTGCATGCAAGACAAGCACTCTACCAACTGAGCTATATCCCCAGCCCCCACCTCTTGACTTTTGATTGACAGCAGTAAAGTCCTCTATTGCACATGACAACTCTAGGTCATTTTGTCCATACTGATCAGTTCTAATTGGAACCTGTTCTTAAAAGTCTCTTATCCATATTATTTTAGGCCTGCATTTTTCCTGAAGATAGTAGGTAGTAAGGGCTAGGGATATAGCTCAGCTGGTAGAGTTCTGGCCTGCAAACACTAATCCCCAGTACCACCACCACCAAAAAAAAAAAAAAAAAGACAGTAGGTAGTTTGCTGAGGAATGTGACATGTCTGTCTACTTAAGCCAGGCAGAACTGCAGTTAAATTTCTTCTTGGCAAAGAAAGCATGCGGGGATCAGCACAGTGGGCCCATTTTATTGAATTATTCCCTTATACTCATGTCTGTCTGTTCCCTATCACTATCTGTTATCTGAGAAAAAGACTACCAGTTTCTGCTCTAAGCCTTAACAACCAGGTAATCCATGGAGAAATTCTGGCCTCTTCTTACGAATGAAAGAAGGGAGCTATCACCTAGGCCCAAGGAACAGGTATGAAAGTGGGGTATACTTTGTAGTCCTGGGTAAACAGCCCTCCCACACTAACCTCTCCCACTGGCAGTAAAGATAGGAGAATACTCAGGCCATGAGCCTCTCAGGAGATGTGTTTTTTGGCCTTTTGCAGGTCCCCTAGTGATGCCAGGTCAGCCTGCCAGGAGTAAGACTGGAGTGAGTTGGCAAGTGCATTCTGGGGAAGCTGCTCCTCCCAACCTGTGGCTGGAGTTTGCAGTGGCCTTTCCTGGCTGCTTTGGCTGGGCTAGCCCAAGGTGGTGTTGCTACCACTGGTTATTGGTGATGAGTTCTGCTTCCTCACATGTTGAAGTTTGAACATTAGAGAAGCAGGCTGAGGCAAGCATATAAAGCAGGGTTTATTTAAAAAGGAGTAACACAGACTTCTCCCTGGAGGGAGAAGGGAGGGAATAGCTGGTATCCTAGTATCCCAAGAAGTGAGGGCATCCTGCCCCCTTTATACATCTAGACTTTCTTTGTTCTTCTGCCTTCTTCCCCATTCTCTCTCTCCTTCCTGTGATACCTGACAAGGCCCAGGTGATGCCAGTGGGGTAGCCAAAAGGTGAGAAGCAGATGGGCATGGCTAAGGGCCAAATGGAGTGATTCAGGCAGGAAGCAGCCCAGGAGACATTAACTAATAACTTTTATAACTTCCTGTAGGGAGGGACAATTTATGGGACAGATTACCTTAGCAACAGGTTGGAGGAGGGGCAGGTTATCTCTTAAGGGTGGAGGGAGGGCTCTGAAGGCATTAACATTTCAATTCCTCTGGGTTGGTCTCCTACTTCCCAGACCCAAGTTGGCCTCAGATTTCTTATCTATACTGACTGCCTGTCTTTAATTCTGGCTTTAGTGTGGCCTCTATCTGAATCCCCAAGCCTTGGTCAAGAAACCCAGGGCTGCAGGAAAACCATGAGCCAGGTAGCACTCTGATCAGGACCTGGTCTTCTGTGGAGCCAGCCTGGGATTTGAATCCTGGAATGGAGATACAGTGAGCCCCAGGATGTGTCCCTTCCCTAGTTAAGTCAACTGGAGAGGATGTTGTATGAGGAATTACAGGTGCCCCTGCTGGGGGAAGAAGGAAGAAAGGCTGCCAGGAAAGTAGATTCCTACAGGTTGTCCAGCCCTTGGTTCTTGAGCAGTTGGTCCTGTGAGTTCGTGGATCAGAGTGGAAGTAAGGTGGCTATTTTCTTGTTTTCTGTTTCTATCCTTCAGTTTTTAGATTTTGTTTTTCAAGACCCAAAGGGTGGGGGAGCTTGCTACAGCACCAGGTAGCATTATAGTTGAGCTTTATGGAGCTATACTGCCATCAAGTGGAATATGTTTCTGGTGAGCTGAGCCACAAGGCAGCAGAGCCGGGTGGAAATCAGCAACACGCAGGAGACAGGAACTGTAAGCGAAAATGGATGATTATGCCCTGGCTGGCACTTGCCCTGTGCTCATTCAGAGGAGTAAGGGCACCTGGCTCCTCCGCCAGGGAACACAAAGGAAGAAAAGGTTGGCAGTGGAAGGCCCACCATAGTTGCTACAGGCAGTGGCCAGGGACAGCTTAGCGTAAACCATGTGGTCCCCCAAACCTCCAGGTTGCTGTGTACCCAGCAAGGAAAGGGGTCTCCCGGCCTCAGCATCGTGGCGGCCTCCAGCAGGGGCACCTGTAATTCCTCACACAGACCCCAGATCCCAAGGCCACCGAGCTCAGTCAGCAGCCAGCAGCTTCTCCTGGGCCCGCCCCAAAAAGGCGCCCTGGGCTGGTTGGTGCAGTGCTGCTGCCTGCAGGGTTCCAGGGCCCCTGGACCTGCTGCTTTCCCTGGGTAGGGTCCTGAGGGCAGGCAGGCTTCCCCCTGTGCTTTTGACTCCTGATGGGGAGACCCTTGCTTGACCAGCATCTGTTCTTCTCAGCCTGTCCTTGCTCTCACACCCCCATCCCATACCACCCTGGTGCCTGGCGGCTGGCTCAAGGTAAATGTCCCTTGTGCCTGGGCTTTTCAGAAACCATTTCTCCTGGTTGGACCTGCGGTTCCACAAATGATAGTCACTACTTACCCCACCCCAGCCTGCACTGTCTCCCTCCCTTTGTGTTCTGAAAAGCACCAGACATAGGATACCCATATCACCTTCAGATAGGCTGTGGACCTGCCTACTTGGCCACTCTGGGGGCAGACCAGGCTCTCCTTTTTTACCTTTGAATTCACCGATTGGTATGGGTTCTTGTGGACACAGACTGCCTGACCCAGTGTGCATCACCTAACTCCCTCCAATGGCCTTCCTTCATACACCCAACCACCATTCTCAGGGCAGAGGAGGACATAAACATTCCCCTTGGAGCTGCATGTCCCTCTGGGACAGGAACTTGGGTCTCTTGTTTGTGTGCAACTCGCTTTTCCTTGGGTAGGAAACTTCTTTGTGGCCACAGGGGCACAGGTTGGGGGGCCAGAACTGTCAGATCCAAGAAGGACAGCTGAAGTGGTTATAACATGCCAGAGAACCTGGCAGGACAAGGAGGTCATGGCACCTCCCTCAGAATCCAAGGCACTCCTTTGTGTCAGGGGGAAGGTGATCTCTCTGAGATGGGTTTCATGGGGGCCTCTCCTTGGAAGGCCTCCACTGTGCTCAGCATACTTCATTGGCTCACTGGTTGGGATTTAGGTGTTCCTTGACAGAGGCATGGGTAGACAGGCTGGCAGACTTCTATTCCACACCAGAAGTAGGTGCCTGTTCCATGCTCAGTAGTTCTAGATACCCTGAATATTTTATCTTCAGGTGGAGTTTAGATTCTGGCAGAGGGGTGGTGGGAAGCTGAATGCAGGAAGTCCTGTGCCTTCAGAGATGCTGAGGGGGTGGGGTAGAAGGCCTGTGAATTATGCCTATACACAGACCTGTGCACTTTGAACCAGAGCTCTGGTGCATTCTGATTATTCACCTTGGATATTAAGTGAGAAGTGGAGGTGGTAGGTAGCAGGGCGGGAATGGGCAAGGGGGGCAGGTATGTTTGTTCAAGTATATTTCTTGTGATTCTCTGTATGTGGGTGTGCATGTAGAGAAGTTAGACCACCATTTGAAATTTTCCATGCAGATAGGCCACCTCAAGTAGCAGGACCTATATGAAGGGCTGGTTTGAAAGATATGTCCTGGTTACCTTATTGTGAAGGTTCCTTAGCCTAACTTCAATGCTTGTTGCCTGGAGAGTAGTAGGCCTGGTGCATCATTCTCCCATGTGCCAAATGTCTGCTCTCTTTCCAGAGGTGTAGACCACAGTGGGAATGCAGCCATCTCTTGCCAAAGTAAGCTTGACATTCCAGATCAACACAGTGCAATGGGGATACTCCCAAGTGTGGATTCAACCACTTGTCCATCCTTCCACTCTAATATGATGCTGGAAATAGAGCAACATTTAAATATGGGTAGAAGAAACCAAAAGCAAAGAATGCATATGTGAACAGGAACCACCTCTATCCACTCTCCTGTTACCTTTCAACTACTTTGAAGTTGTGTAGCAATCATAAGGTCATCTATTGCACCTGCTTAAAGCTGGGGAGAAAGAAATGCAGGGAGGTGGACTTTCAGGTGGTAGAATGCTCCCTCTTTGTCACAGGTCATCTTTTTTTTTTTTTTTTCCTTCACATTGAGCTGCACTCACTTCTCACTCTTGGAGATAGCTGAGCTTGTCTAAGTCTTCAGTTACATGCATCCGTATTTAAGCTGAGGTGAGCAGGTCTGTGCACCCACACACCCACACTCATACACAGGCGATCCCCAAGCCAGGCTCAGTGGGCTGGACCACTCGATTTGACTGTTCCCTCTGTTGCCCCCCTCACTTGACACTGTCTGCCTGTTTTCCCAGTTTAGCCTGTGGGACAAGGAGGAGGCAGTGCCATCATCGCACAAGAGACCTCTGGCTGGACAAGGCTTATACCATGGTCTCCAGGGGGTAAAAATGCAATCCTGTCTGGTGGTACTCTTTTCCTGTGAGGATAGTGGATGCCACTCCATGAACCACAAGTCCACTTGCTATTCAAATTATTCTGGTTCACTCTCCTACCTTCTGCTTCACTACAATTCTCTGTTCATTTTCCACTTGTTCCTCCCATGGCTTTCCATTACTGAGAGTCACTACCTGTTCTTCATTCTTACTTTGTGGAAATCAGGTTCTGGCAGGGTGTGTTGGGAGGAAGCAGGAGGACAAGGACAAAGAATAGAATGATTTCATTGCAAATCATAATGACTCTTGTTGATTGAGGGAGAGAGGGGCCATCCCCGCTTCTACCTAGCCTTGGGTACTATCCATGAAGATCTCATCTCCCTTGTATCTGGTTCATCCCCATTTCATGCCCACTTGTGTTCCCAGTACACTACGGTCTTGGGGAAGAGGATGGGGGAAGATGCAGGTCGGGTGGGGAGAGTCATTTTCTGGACCTCTGGCCAGTTGGAATGTGCTGATGACATAGCCAAGTCATGGTTCATATTTAGCCTTTGCCACTGCAAGTTCCTACAGGCCCATTCATGGTGCATTCCATTGACAAGAGCATTCTGGGGGGGGGGGTGTTCTTTCCTTAGGAAGTAGGCCACTGTGTCACCCTGCCACTCCATGTGTTGGTTACCACCCTATGAAGATTTCAGGCTCAAGATCCTTCAAAACACCCTAGGAGGAATGTGGGTGCTCATTTTCCCCATCCTCTTCCCCTTCTCATGACATCCACCTTCTTTGCATTGCCTTTCACTTTCTACTGCTAACCAGGCGAGGTATAGTGTTCTCTGGAAAAAGGCAAGTGTCCTTCCTTCCTCTGCTTGTTGGTTAGGGGTAGATGCACTATCCTAGCATGGGTCCTTGGGAGACACTACATCCTTTATTGAAATTGATCAGGGTTGAGGGTCACCAGTAGTGTTCCTTTAGTCCTGCAAAAAAAAAAAAAAAAAATCCATCTGCATGTTACTTGTGAACAAATAGGTCATCGGATGTATGATCAGCAAAAGACCTCAAGACTTTTCTCTACTTGCAAGTCTTCTCCCCATGGAAGCTGGAAAGTTTCAAAGTTGGGCTAGGAGACACCACTTCAAGGTGTCCCCTGTGACCTTATCTTCCCCTCCAATTCCACAACAGCATGGTATTCAATGTGTGCCTATAAACTGTCTCTGCCATTTCAACATGAACAGTCCCATTCACACAGGCAAGTACCCAGAGATATGGACACCTACCAATATACCAGGACACACTTTTACTCCCCTTCCCGCAGACTTGACTATCACTACTTATGTATATACCCAAAGACACAGAAGCCTAAGGCTTAGGTCATCCTTTGCCTGTGTCCACTTTTCCCTTTCCCTCTCTTACCACCCTACAACAGAGTAGACACACACTCCACATCACTCACTAATCTGGTATCAGAAAAGGTCAGAACTTCTCTTCTTCAAGCCTTGTTAGGCTTCTCTTCTCCAAGCCTTATCAACCAAGTAAATCATGGGGGCAACTCTGGCTTCCTCTTTCAAATTAAAGGAAGGAAGCTATCACTTAGGCCCAAAGAGCAGGTGTGAAAGTGGAGCATACTCTGTATTCCTGGGTAAACTGTTCCCCTCCCAACCTCTTCTACTGACATTAAGGACCCAGGGAGTTCCTCTGTTGAGAGGCCAGGAGCTTCTGATGTGTTCTTTGGCCTTCTGCAGGTCCCCTGTGAAGCCAGACCAGCTTACCAGGAGTCAGACTGGATTGTGTTGCTAGGTGCCTCTTCCCCAGGAAGCTTCTGCCTCCCAACCTGTGGTTGGAAGTTGCCTGGCTTTTCCTGGCTGCTTTGCTTGGGCCATTTGAAGGTGTTTGTGGCCTCTCCCTAGGCCTTGGTCAAGAAGCCTGGGGTTTCAGGAAAAAAAAAAAACACATGAATCTGCCTCTGGTTTGTGACCAGCACCTGGTGTGAGGAGCCAGCCTAGGATACAGATACTGGAGAGGAGTCACAGTGATCCTCAGGACAAGTCCTTTCCCTGTTCCTTCTTGCCAGAGCAGGAAGTGGGGAAGGCAAAAGAATGCCTGATCACTGGAACAGGATTTCTGAGGCCTCTGCACCTCCTGGTTCTTCTTCAGTTGGTCCTGTGAGTTTGCAGGTCCAGTTGGGGCATGGTAGCCTCTTTTTTGCTTTCCATTCCACTTTCCCACATTTTAGACTGCTGTGTTTTTTTTAAGACGCAAAGGGCGGGGGGAGAGTGGAGTGGAGAGGCAAGTGGCAGCAACTTTGAGAAGTGTAGTGCTCTATCGCCATCAAGTGGAATGAGTTTCTGATGAGTGGAGCCGATTGGGCACCAGGGCCCAGTCCAGTCCAGCTCCGTGCAGGAATCAGGGCCGCGATCCACCACCGCCACTTGCCATCAACCCATGGCCACCGCGAACCAAGGTGGACGGTTACGCCCTGGCTGGCACTTGCCCCAGCTCATTCCAAGCACAAGGGACACCCTGACTCCTCCACCAGGGAGCAGGGAGGAAGAAAAGGCTGACAGTGGGCGGCCCTCCATAGCTGCCACAGACTGCTATCTTCCCGGCAAGGAAAGGGGCCTCCTGGCCTCAGCGTGTGCTGACCTCAGGCAGGAGCACCTGCAACTCTTGACCTAAGACCCCAGACCGCAAGGCCAGAACTCAGCTCAGTCAGAGGCCAGCGGCTTCTCCTGGCCCATCCTAAAATGGCGCCACAGGCAGCTCCGCCCCCTGTGCTGGTTGGTGCAGCTCTACTGCCCGGAGGGTCCCAGGGCCCCTGGACGGGCTGCTTTCCCTGGGTAGGGTCCTGAGGGCAGGCAGGCTTCCCCCTGTGTTTTGGACCCCTGGCCGGGGGAGACCCTTCCTTGGCCAGAGTACGCTTTTCCCAGCCCGTCCTTGCTCTTACATCCCCATACCACACCACCCTGGTGCCAGGCTGCTGGCACAAAGCAAGTGTCCCTTCTGCCTGGGTTTTTCAGAAACTATTTCCGCTAGATGTCACTGTGGTTCCACAAATAACAGTCACTTTTCCCCACCCCCACCTAGGCTTCCATTTCCTCCTTTTGTTATCTGAAAACACCAGAGAGGATGCCCATGGTACCTTAAGTCAGGCTGTAGACCTTCCTTTCTTGGTCCCTTTCCCGGCATATCTGGCTCTCTGCTTCTTCCTTTTCTCTGGATTCACCTCTTGGTTTTTGTCCCTGTGGACACAGACCTACTTTTTCTCCGTGCATTGCCCAATCTGCCTTCTATTGACTTGGGAAGGGGGTGGGGATGCACATTCCACATTTCCCTAGACATGTGCTTGTCTCACCAGAGCAGGAACCAGGGCATCCTGTTGTTATGCATTTCACTTCTCCCTTGGTAGCCAAGTCCCTTGTGACCAAGGAGCCAAGGATCCACTGCAAAGGATCAGGTTAAAGATACCTGCTAAAGAACCTGATAGGACTGGGAGATAGAAAGGGTACCTCATCTCCTCAGGCCACCTTCCTCACAGGACTCCTCTGTACTCTCTGTGCCCCAGGTTTTTGTGCCCAACCTGAGATGTTTCACGAGTGCCTTTCTATGGAACGCTACTGGTGTTTCATACAATGCATTGACCCACTGGTTGGGATCTAGATGTCCCTGGTGCAGGCATAGGTAAGCCAGGCTGGCAGGCTTCAGTACTACACCAAGAGCAGTGCTTGTATCAAGTTAAGGGGTTCTAGGTCCAGTTGGTGTTTAATCCCTTAGGGTGGGGATGAGGTTGTGGGAGAGGGAAGGTTAGAGGATGGATGTTGGAAGTGGCTTGCCCTAAGTGAAAGTGTGGGAGTGAGAAGGCCCATGAATAATCCCTATACATAGATATTTCCCCTCTGAATCTGAGCTCTTGGGCCTCCTGATAAGTCAGACATGGAGGTAGAAGGTAGCAGGGTGGGAATGGGCAGGAGGGCGATCTTTTAGTGCAAGTGTGCATGTGTGCCTTTGTGTGTGTGTTTGTGTGTTAGACCATCAGTTGAAAGGTTTCCATGGAGACAGGCCAGTTTAAGTAGCAGGGCCTTTATGCAGGGCTGGTTTGGATGCCAAACAGTGATCACTTTGCTGCGAGAGTTCTTTAAGGCTCCCTTTGACACTGCATGGAGAGAAGTGTGCCTGGTACACATATTCCAGTATGCCAGATGTCTCCTGTATTTCTGGAGGTGTAGGCCATAGTGGGAATGCACCAATCTCTAGGGCAATGAATTGACCTCCCAGAATATCATAGTGCCCTGGAATATCATCCTGTGGACCTGTTTAAGTATGGATTTAAGCTTTTGTCTATGCTTCTACTCTAAGATGTTGCTGAAAGTAGAACAACATTTAAATATGTGGAGAAGAAACCAAAAGCCAGCAGCAAATGCACCTGAGAACAGGAGCCACCTCCATCTACTGTCCTGTCACCCCTCACCTACTGTGGATCTTGTCCTTCTCTGTAGTAATCATAAGGTCTCCTACTGCACTTGCTTAGAGAAAAGCTGAGGAGAAAGAAATGCAGGGAGGTGGACATAGGTGGTGAGATGCCCCCTCTCAGTGTCACAGGTCATCTTTTTTTCTCATTGAGTTGCATGCACTCACTTTTCACCCTTGAGGACAGCTGAGCTTACCTATGTCCTCAGTTACATGCATCCCCCATTTAATCTGAGGGGAGCAGGTCTGTGCATGCATGCACCCACATTCACACTCAGGCGACCCACAGTGAGGCTTGGTGGGCTGGAGCCCTCGACTGACTTGTCAGTTCCCTGTGTTTCCCCATCCCCCTCCTCCCTTGTTCCTTTCTGCCTTCCCACTTCAGCCAGGGGGACTGTGTGGAGGAAGCAGCAGCATCAGTGGAGCAACAGGTCTCTATCTGCACAAGGTTCACACCCTGGTCCTGTTTTGCTGAGAAGACAGCCTTGGTTGGTGGCTCTCTTCCCTGTGAGGATAGGGGATGCCACTCAGTGGGACACCTATGCATTTGTTACTTAAGGTATTCTAGTTGACTTCTGCCTTACTATAATTCTGTTTTTGTTTTTCACCTGTTCCTCCCCTGGCTTTCCATTTTTGCTTGTCTTTTCTTGTTTTTCAATTGTTTCTTTGTTGTTCTGACAGGAAGGGGACCTTGAAAGGAAGCAGGAGGATCAGACAGAGAATGAAATGACTTCATTGGAAATCATAATGACCCTTGTGGACTGGGGGAGTGAAGAGCTATCCCCTCTTCTTTCTTGCCTTGAGTACCATGCACACAGATCAAGTTGCCCTAGCCTCATCTGATTTTATCCATTTTGTGTCCACTGTGTTCCTGGTTTCTGCACCTATCTTGGTCCTTGGGAAGATGTATGTGTGTGTGTGTGTGTGTGTGTGTGTGTGTGTGTGTGTGGTGGTGGGGATGCAGATGGGGGTTGGGGAGGGTCACTCTCTCCTTGCACCAGGAAAGTTCTATAGGTACACTCACTGGACATCCATCAACAAAAGCATTGCCAGTGGTATTTTCTTTCCCTGGGAAGGAGGCTGCTTGTGTCGCCCTGCCTCCATGTATTGGTTACCACCTTCTGAAGAGTTTCTGACCTAGATCCTTGAAAACACCCGAGATGGAGTGAGGGTTCTCATTCTTCTCCTAGCTTTCCTCCTCTCATGTCACTGCTTCTGCTTTGTGTTGCCTTTCACTTCCTCCTGCTAGGCAGTCCAGGGCCAGTGTTCTGTGGAAGAAGGAAAGTGTCCTTCCTCTCCTTGTTAGTTATAGAGTAATGTACCTTCCCAGCAGGAGACAATGTGGGATACTCCCTGTCTTGAAATCCAGCAGGGTTGAGGGTCACCAGAAGCATCCCTCTAGTCTTGAAAATTCATGCACATGTTACTTGTGAATGAGATAGGATCTGGACGCACAGCCAGGAAACAGACATCAAGGATTTCCTTTCTTGAGTCTTCTCCCAATGGAAACTTGAAAGTTTCAGTCAGTCCAGGAGGTACCACTTCAAAGTATGCTCCTTGGCTTTTTCTTCCCCTCCAATCTTGTGTACACATCAGTATGGAAGTCAGTGAGTACTTATACACAGATTCTGCAATTTCCACATCCATGCTCCCATTCAGACTAGCAGGCACACACACATACACACATACACAGATACATCTGCAATATATGGGCTGCCCCTTCCACAGACTGGCCCACACATCTAAGGAACATTGGAGCAAGAAGCCCAGGTACTGTGTGATCCCCTTCTGGTACACACACACATTTCTCTCTCTCTCACACACACAACAGGGTAGAAACACACTCCCAACTCCTATATGGTGTCTAGAAAAGGTCAGTCAAGGGCTAGGGTTGTGGTTCGGTGGTAGAGTACTTGCCTAGCACGTGTGAGGCACTGGGTTCAATCCTCAACACCATATAAAAATAAATAAAATTAAGGTATTTTGTCCATCTACAACTAAACAACAAAAAAGGTCAACCATTCTCTGCTCCAAGACTTAACAACTGTGGGGCAATTCTGGCCTCTTTTGACAAATGGAAGAAAGAAGTTATCACCCAGGTCCAAGGAGCAGGTGTTAAAATAAAGTGTAGTCTGTAGTCCTGCTTAAACAGCAACCCTCCAACCTCTCCTATTGTTGGTAAGGACAAACTGAGTCCTCTGCTGAGAGGCCATGAGCCTCTGATGTGTTTTGTAGCCTTCTGCATGTCCCCTGTTAAAAGCCAGGCTAGCTTCCCCAGAGTCAGATTGGAGTGAGTTGCTAGGTACCTCCTGCCAGGGAACTCCTGCTTCTTATTCTGTGACTGCAGGCTGCCCTGGCCTTTCCTGGCTGCGTTGTTTGAGCCATCTGAAGGTGGTATGGCCTCTCCTTAGACCTTGGTCAAGAAACCCAGGGCTTCAGAAAAAATGATGAGTCTGGCAGCTCTGTGACAAGGACTTGGTATGTGGAGCCAGCTTACCATTTTAATTCTGGAGTAGAGTAACAGTGATCCTCAGGACAAGTCCTTTTTCTTTTCCTTCTTAATTTTTTGGTACCAGGGATTGAACCCAAAGGTGCTTAATCACTGAGACACATCCCCAGCCCTTTTAAATATTTTATTTAGACACAGGGTCTCACTGAAGTTTTTAGGGCCTTGCTAAAATTTTTTAGGGCCTTGCTGAGGCTGGCTTTGATCCTGCCTCAGCCTTTAGGTTCTGCTGGGATTACAGGCATGTACCACTTTGCCCAGCTCCCTTTTCCTTCTTGGAAGAACTAAGCAATTCACAGTAGACCAAAGACCTAGGAATTAGACCAGGAAACTTGTGTATGCTAGAAGAAAATGTAGGCCCAACACTCCAGTATATCGGCTCAGAAGCTGACTTCCTTAACAAGACCCCAAAATGTAAGAAGTAAAATAAAAATCTTTGCCACCCGTACATCAGATAGGGTGGCTAATATCCAAGATATAAAAAAACCTCAAAAACCTAAGACCAAAAAAAAAAGCGCACGATAATCCAATCAATAAATGGGCAAAGAAACTAGGTAGACACTTCTCAAAAGAAGAAACACGAGTGGTCAACAAATATATGAAAACATGTTCAATACCTCTAGCAATTAGAGAAGTACAAATTAAAACTGCACTGAGATTTCATCTCACTCCAGTCAGAATGGCATGTTATCAAGAATACAAGTAATAATAAATGTTGGCAAGGATGTAGGGAAAAAAGTGTACACTCATATATTGCTCATGGGACTGCAAATTGGTGCAACCACTCTGGAAAGCAGTATGGAGATTCCTCAAAAAATTAGGAATGGAACTACTATTTGACCCAGCTATCCCACTCCTTGTTATATATCCAAAGGATTTAAAATCAGCATACTACAGTGACACAGCCACCTCAATATTTATAGCAGCACAGTTCTCAATCAATAGCTAAGCTATGGAGCCAACCTAGGTGCCCTTCAGCAGATGAATGAATAAAGGAAACGTGGTACATATACACAATGGAATATTACTCAGCCATAAAGAAGAATGACTTTTTGACTTATGACAGTAAATGTGTGGATCTGGAAACTATCATGCTAAGTGAAATAAGCTAATTCTCCCAAAGCAAAGGTTGAATATTTTTGCTGATATGTGGAAGTTAACCCACAATAAAAGGGGGGGATTTGTTCAGTGGAGTAGACAAAGGGAAATGAAGGGAAGGGAGGGGAATGGGAAAAGGAAAGACAGTAGAATGAATCTGACATAACTTTCCAACATACACATGAGTACACAATGAATCTTGCAATGTATACATCCACAAAAAAATTAATTTAGAAAACATGAACTGGAGGCTGGGGATATAGCTCAGTTGGTAGAGTGCTTGCCCCACAAGCACAAGGCCCTGGGTTCAATCCCCAGCAAAAAACAAAACAAAACAAAATACCCAATGAATGAACTAAAGTGGCTGGGGTTGTGGCTCAGTGGTAGAGTGCTTGCCTTGTATGTGTGAGGCACTGGGTTCGATTCTCAGCACCACATAAAAATAAATAAAGGTCTAACGACAACTTAAAACAAACAAACAAAAACCAACAATAAACCAAAAACATGAACTGGGTAAATGGGAGAAAGATTAATAGAAGGAAGGGAGAAATAAGGGAGAAGGGGGTAGGGAGAGGGAAGGAAAAGGAGAGGTACTGGAGTTTGCATTAGAACAAAATATAGTCCATGCTTGCATAATTATGTCGAAAAGGATTCTCCTCTCATGTATAACTAAAAGAACCAATTAAAAAAAACACCAAACCAAGAGGTCCCAAGAAAGAAAGTCACAGAAATACCTGGATGCTGGAACAAGATTCCTATAATTCCTATAGATCTCAACCTACCGCTTCATGGTCAGTTGATCCTGTGAGTTTGCAGGTCTAGTTGGGGCATGGTGGCCCTTTTTTGCTTTCTTTTTTCGGGGGTCAGATCTTCTGTAAGAATCAGATAGGAGCCTTTTTTGCTTTCCATTCCTCATTCCCACATTTTAGACTGCTGTGTTTTTTTTTTTTAAGACGCAAAGGGCGGGGGGAGAGTGGAGGGAAGAGGCAGGTGGCATCAACTTTGAGAAGTGTAGTGCTCTACCGCCATCAAGTGGAATGAGTTTCTGATGAGTGGAGCCGATTGGGCACCAGGGCCCAGTCCAGCCGAGCTCCGTGCAGGAATCAGGGCCGCGATCCACCACCGCCACTTGCCATCAACCCATGGCCACCGCGAACCAAGGTGGACGGTTACGCCCTGGCTGGCACTTGCCCCAGCTCATTCCAAGCACAAGGGACACCCTGACTCCTCCACCAGGGAGCAGGGAGGAAGAAAAGGCTGACAGTGGGCGGCCCTCCATAGCTGCCGCAGACTGCTATCTTCCCGGCGAGGAAAGGGGCCTCCTGGCCTCAGCGTGTGCTGACCTCAGGCAGGAGCACCTGCAACTCTTGACCTAAGACCCCAGACCGCAAGGCCAGAACTCAGCTCAGTCAGAGGCCAGCGGCTTCTCCTGGGCCCGTCCTAAAATGGCGCCACAGGCAGCTCCGCCCCCTGTGCTGGTTGGTGCAGCTCTACTGCTTGCAGGGTCCTAAGGCCCCTGGGTAAGGTCCCGAGGGCAGGCAGGCTTCCCCCTGTGCTTTGGACCCCTGGTGGGGAGATTGTCCTTGGCTGGAGTACACTCACTCCAGTCCCACAACCCCATTGCACACCACCCAGGCCACCTGACTACTGGAGCAAGTGTCCCTTCTGCCTGGGGTTTTCAGAAACTGTTTCCGCTAGATGGCACTGTGGTTCCACAAATGACAGTCACCCCTTTTCCTACGCGGCCCCCCCCCCCCCCCCAGCCCCGCAGCGTAGTTTTCCTCTCCTTTCCTTTGTAATCTCCCGTCACTGGACGTCCTTGGGACCTTCAGACGGGGTGTGGACCTGCTGTGCCTGGGCACCTTGGAGGCAAAACAGGCTGTTTGTGGGCAAACCTAACTCATTTTTCATTTACTCTGGATTCCCCTCTTGGTATGGGTCCCTTTTGACACAGACCTAGGTTTCTAGCATTCATCCCCCCACCCTTCCTTCACAGGTTCTCTCTCTCTCTCTCTCTCTCTCTCTCTCTCTCTCTCTCTCTCTCTCTTTTTCCCTTACACATTCTCTGTTTTTTCCATATTGTACTTCAATCACTATTTTTTCCTTTTTCTTTTTTTTGTGATATAGCTGCTCTTTTTTCCATGACTTTTTTTTTTAATATTGGGGTTCATTTTGACGTATTCATACAAGCATAGAATATAATTTACTCCAATTCAGTCCCTAGTACTTACCCCTTTTATCCCTCCTCCCTCTCCAGTTCCCTTTTCTCTACTGGGTTTTCCTTCTATTTATTTGTAGTTTTTTTTTAAAATTAGTATTTATAGATAAACAAAGGTTAAATTTACTTTGATATATTCATATATGTACATAGGATAGTTTGGTCAGTTTTTATCCCACCATTTTTCTCTTTTCCTATCCCTCCTCTCTCCTGCAGTCTTTCCACTTCCTGTACTCCTCTGATTCATTACCTTTTTTAGGGGAGGGGGTACTGGGAATTTAACGCAGGGGCATTCCAAGATTGAGCCACATCCCCAGCCCTACTTTGTATTTTACTTAGAGACAGGGTCTCACTGAGTTGCTTAGTGCCTCACTTTTGCTGAGGCTGGCTTTGAACTCAGGATCCTCTTGCCTCAGCCTCCCTAGCCAGTAGGATTATAGGCATATACCTGGCCTGATCCATTACCTTTTTAAAAATTTTTAATTTATTTTTTAGTTGTTGATAGACCTTTTTTTAAAAAAAATTTATTTATATGTGGTGCTGAGAATCAAATCCAGTGCCTCACACATGCTAGGCAAGTGAGCTATCACTGATCCACAGCCCCTGCCCCTGATCCATTAACTTTTAAGAAGCAAATTCCTTGGAGCTGAAAGTGAGGGAAGAAGTGTTTTAGTTAACTTTTTCACTGCTATGACTAAAAGACCCGATGAGAACAATTTTAAGGAGGAAAACTTTATTTTGAGGCTCATGGTTTCAGATGTCTCAGTCCATAGACAGCTAGCTCCATTCCTCTGGGTTCCAGATGAGGCTCAACATCATGGTGGAAGAGTGTGGTCAGAGAGACAGAGAGACAGACAGACACAAACTGACTAAAATCGCCAGATACAAAATATATATACTCAAAAGGCACAGCCCCAATGAACCACCTCCTCCAGCCACACTCTACCTGACTTCAGATATCATTCAATCCCTATCAGAGGATGAATTCACTGACTGGGTTAAGGCTCTTGTAACCTAATAATTTCATCTCTAAACCTTCTTCCACTGTCTCACACATGAGATTTTCGGGAGCACCTCACATGCAAACCATGAAAAGAGTCCAGCCAAAGGCTTCTCGTATAGTACAGAACAGTGGAGCACAGGTGGGGAGAGTTTGTACCAAGAGGAGAAAGGGGTCTCATTCTGTGAGCTCAGAGACAGTGTAAGATACTTATACAAAGTGAATAAAAAGTACAGCCAGCATGAAAGCTGAATATCAAGGTAAATAATTGCATAAGTTTTTAAAATCTAAACAACAGCCTTGAATAATAAGAGGTTTGGGAAGATCCTGTGGCTAGGAATAGTTTGCTGTGACCACGAGGAACCATGAACCTCATGGTATGAATAAAAAGTAAGAACATCTAAGTATCATTGAACACATAAAATATGCTAAGCATTTTATTTTATTTTTTATTTGTGCAGGTTTTTCTTTTTATTTGTTCTTTTTACTTATATAAATTAGGATTAATTTTGACATTATGATATTTCTGTTCTTTGTCCCATTTCCCTCAAACACAGTGTAGCACAACTTACATTTTTTATTATATCCTGCACTTTATTTCGGGAAGATAGTTAATCTTTTTACTGTGTTGAGAATTATTTTACTTGGCTGATTTATCAATATTTACTGTATGTCTTTGCCTTCTTATGATAGAAATGAGTGTTTTACCAATAAATTGAAACATATTTCTTTTTCTCATAGACTGTTGTTTTTTTCTTTTTAGTTATTGTTTTTTTGTGGTGTGTCTTTGGGGATTATTGGTTTATACCTATATAGGCTTTTTGGAAGACTGAATAAACTCAACATTTTTATATTTAAAATTATTTTCATGTGTTCAATTATTATTTCCTTTTTTGGAGTCATTTAAAAAACACATTAAAAAAGTTCTTTTGCAGTACTATGTGGTCCAATGCTATCTATTATTTATGTGACATTGTAGCTTTGTTATCAAATCTAGTAGCATAAAAATTATAAAAGATTATAGAACATACAGTTCATAGAGTACAAAATATACATGGCCTGTAATGATCAATTTTTTTTTACTTCACTCCTTTCCCATCATATTTGCAACAGTCAAATGTCTCCAGAATATCTATTATTTATAAATATAGTGTGAATTATGTGCTCTCCATGAAAGTGTAAAATTTTAATGTGTTTTAACAGCATTCTAAATGTAATGTTTGTGTATTTTGACTTATATTACACTTGTGGAGCTTATGTAAATGCTACCACTTATTAATAACTTCATTGTTTTTAATAAAAGTTGCAATCACGGTAAATGACTTCAACAGAAGACTAATCCTATAAATTATGCTGATGTACAATGTAATATTATGAGGTAGTTGAAGTATTTTAGTAAATCAATGTTGATAAATAAAAGTCATTAAGACCTTCTCATGTGGGTAAAGTAAAATTGTAGAGAAGAAGGTTTTGATGATATAATTTCTATTACATATTCTAAGTCATATTCTAAGTCTAAAACTTTATATTATTGTAAGTACTGTATATGTCTACATTCAAATACATTGAAAATTATCTAGAAAGAACTGGTACTTATGTTTTAAAAATAATTTTTATTTTTCAACTGATCTTTATTTTATTTATTTATATGCAGTGCTGAGAATCAAACCCAGTGCCTCACACATGCTAGGCAATCACTGGATCACTGAGCCAGAACCCCAGCCTATGTTTTAATCTTGGACATAGAGGAGGACCAAGGAATGTTAAAAGTTTGGTGGCAATAGGACTTTTTTTTCCTTTTCCACAGCAATAGGACTTTTATATATATTATTTAGGTTATACATAGCTTGACTGCACTCATTTTTTATTTGTTTAAATAAGTATATATTTTTTTAAAGAACATAAGAATGTGTAAAATGGTCATGGGCAAATATTGGGGCTGATTGATCAATGATGTAAAGCAAGAACCACAAAAGTGAAACATGGCAGCTATTTTCTGCTAAAAATATGCTTAGGGTGGTAGCAACCAATGATCCACCTAAAAGATAAATTTTCATTTTGCAGTCAAATATAATATCAGATATCAAGAAAGATTCAAGTTGTTAGCATTCTGTGATTTTCATTGAATCAAAATCTTTATCAAGCTCTTTTTCAAGAGCTCTTCTAAAACTTTGCTTCTCATATAACTTGTTTAAAAGGGAAAGTGGGGTGTTTCTTGCTTGAATGATATATCTGTCCTGTATGGTAATTGCATTTGTTATTACAAATTAATAAATTGTACTTCTGCATTGTTTAAAAATATTTCAGTTGTAGGATGTAATAAGTATGATTTCACTTCCTGAATTTGGATGAATTCTAGGACATATGTAAGATCAGGTTGTAGACTTTTCAGATTGAAGCCTGGGCCATGTGAACTCATCAAAGCAGATAACACCCATGATATTGTCTTGCAGTAACCAACCTGTGCTTTCTTTTGTTGACACCAGTCCTTACTGTATACTTTAAAATTTCACAGGTCTAATAAAGGTCCTTATAAATTTTGTTTCTCATTGCTGTTAGAGATATGTGACTAAAATCTAGTAAGTTGTGAATTTTAAGTAAATATTTCATAAGAAGTCCAAATATAATACAGTACCAAAATTAGAAAAATTTGGCCTTTTCCTACAAAT